TTCCATGCGAGCGTGTCATAGCCATCACTTTCTATCAGCTCCGGAGTATTGCCTTGATCGCTTCTTCTCTTGCTGACAGACCAGCGTGTGAGCTTTACTGCCCAGTTGCCATAGCACAGTCCTTGTCCCAAATTGTACATGAAGCACGCTAGAATTCCTCACTTATCCACGTTTGGCGAACTTTACCACCGACAATGTACGCCTGTCAAGTATAAAGATAGGCAGTACCTCCACTATGGATATGTGTCTTTCGTCTAAGCCGATAAGCTTCAGCATTTCGGCTCTCGCAACGATCAGTTTTTCTCTGTTTGCGATTGCTAGGTCGATGCTGGCTTTTGGACGCTTGTGATCGACCAAGTCACCTTGATGAAGGATCATGTGCGACATCGCGCTGCTACGCAATAGCCAGCAGGTTGATCGTCAAGCAACCCCAGCAAATATTCCATCGCTACCACTGAGACAACTTCTAAATGGACTCCCAGCCGGTAAATCCCAAATTATGTTGCCCATCTGGACACAGTTGAGGACTTTTCATTAATACCCGCTCTTTTGCGGCGCGTAGCTCTTGTGACCACTATCCCGTCTGCCCTCGAGTGATCCGTTTTTTCAGCAGCGCAAAGCACTTTTTATTGGCTTCCATCTTCTGTAACTTCTTCTTCAACATCTTTTCTTTGACTTCAATCATCGAATTTTTTTGGCGCTTTACACGATAGAAGAGATCGGCTCATACACCGACTGCAGGCTGCTCAGAAATATCACTATCTGTCTTGACTTATCCATTAGCTCTCTCGTCGTCTGAAGTACCACGACCATTATATTAGACGCGTACAGATGTTCCGCCATGCGAGTGACACTCTTCATTTCAAACATATGAAGGCGACGTGTCATCTTGGCACGATTGTGGAGAGCTAAGCGATTGGTGAAATCGCAAATCGTTTTCGGCGTCTTCACGGCACAAGTTGCAGATTGAATGCTATTCTGAGATCAAATTTCAACTTCAAGTGTGCCAACAACGTCGAGTAATATGCGTTGACGAATTATTTGGATATCTTGCACCTCTTAATCCGCGAGAACGTCAAGAAGGAATTTTTAAGATGAACTTCATCCCCACGAAGCGTTGGCTTCCTGGTATGCTGACGAAGGAACTAGGAATCAAGGTGCTTGCGTATATAAGCAAAGCAGCGGGTAGCAAGACCAAGCAAATGCCAAGGATAAAAACATTAACAAGAAGTAGGACTGTTGAGATGCCGCCGCTTAATATTGTTGTAGAACGATGTTGCGGTACTATGCCAATTTGATGTGCATGATTTATAAATTATGTTTTTAAGAAAACAAACTCAGGTTACCTAGGTGGTAAGTTGTGGTGGGTCCACTTTCCTCATTGAGGGTTCAAACCCCAAATGACAAAGTTCCAATAAACTGTGTAAAGGGTCTACTGTGGGGCACCTAGCCAGTACCAAACATCCTGTCGCCCTTTTCATTTGATTGCTGACTAGTATGTATATTATTTTGGCAGGATAATCTGGTATAGATTTGGAAACGTTAGGACTAATATAATTTGCGTTTCCAATGAAACATGACAGCTGTGTTATCACGTGTTCAACACCCGTTAAAACATGTAATTTTGTTTAGCAGGCATTCAATTCAAGATCGAATGGCTTTAGCGCATCGCTAAACGACCCTTATCAGTGTAAGCGACTGCGTTGATGACAACTTCAATCCTGATGCACACGGGTTGTCGACAGTCTTGGATTCTTGCTGACCGAAGCGTCTGTCACGTCGTCGATGTAGCAAGTCTGCTTTATCATAAGTGTCTTGGTTGACCCGTCTTGATCACTTTTCATGCCCAAAATGAATTTTTGCTTGCCTGACCCCTTCATCATGAGTGTATTTCTAAGCGCATTTTCAACCTGGCTGATCTCCCTTCTTTGTTTTGCTGTGACAATAATGTCATTCACATATTGTTTAAGAGGGGTGATTCGCCCTGGGATTGCTTGACTTGATCGCACTGTCCTTCACAGCTCTTCAAGCTATTGTTAACAAAGACACTATTCATTGTCATGTTCCAGGCACTTGCTGCTCGTTTTAGCATATGCATAGATAGTTTTCAGTTGACATAGGCATCCCTGAGTAAAGCCGACACCCAGTGGAGCTCTCATATAAACGGTGTCCGTCAGAAAACTTTTGATAAAAGCAGAATTGACATACAGCTACTTAATTTGATGGTCGCATTTGGCAAACATTGCCGATATCATTCAGGGCGAACTCATGTTAGCGACCAGAAATTCGTCTCGAAAAATTCTATTCCGTACTTTTGCTCGAAGCCCTTCGAGACAAGTTATGCCTTGTATCGCACGATAACTTCTTGATATTTACCTGTCGCGATCCAATTGTGCAATCGTTCGTATCTCTTAGTTATGGTATCCATGTTTGATTCTGCCCATGAAAATGATGCTCGGCTACAAAAGCTTCACACCACTTCTCCGCATCGTCACTTGCCATTGCTTGAGCACATGTAGTCGACAATTCCGCATCATCAGCACTTCTCATCATATACGCAAGAACAGCAACAGCATCGGTAATGACTTCGTCTTTGTCAAATATTGCAGACTTTGTTGTCTCTGGGCCATCACTTTCTGCTGTTGCTACCTCATAATCGAAGCCCTTCCGTAGCATAAGCTTCGGCTCATATCTTCGCTTGGTTTGTTCCAATTCAGACGATATTTCGAACGATCATCGTTACGCTTATGAAGAATTGGACGATACTCTTCATGCTTTAGTCTCTTTATATCAGAACGCACGGAAGGCATCAGATGGTATATACAAAAAACTCATCATACGAGCAAACACTTGGTGTACGCTCACAATCGTTCAAGTCGGCGTCTTCGACTGACTCCTTGACAGTTTCTTTCCGCTCATCTAAACGGCTGTTGGCCTTTTAAACAAAATTATGATCACTGTTCTTTATGATTTCGATGATGACTTCTGACTGTAGTGCATGCGTGTTGTAAATGCCGCCAGCTTTCAAGCTAATCCAATTTCATTGAGCAAGTCACTTAAACATTGGTATTCTCCAAGTCAAACACGCGATTACCCTCGACATTATCCGCGTAACCAAAAACATACATTTGAACTTTTGGGTTTGATTGTGTTCTTTTTATCGTCAACACGAGTGGAACCATGCGACCCAAACACACATCAGTGATCCATCCGTGGCTTCACCTGGGAAACAACTCATATGGCAAGATCTAGGGACAGCCTGTTTTCGTCGAGCGATTATTCATATAAAAGCTACCGTGTTTACTGTTTCCGTCCTCCATTCAGTTACAACGTTTTTGTATCAAAGCACACTGCGGGCTTTTCCCATGCTAGCCCATTTCATTTCTGCGCTCCACGCCTCAATTTTGCGTAGCGCTTATATAAGAAAATTTTAGTGGACGATGCCGCTTCGACGACATGTATACATACATATACGATCGCTCCATCCACGAATCCTGTGCCGTTGTCCGATCTCAATTATTCGAGACGAACACCCCACTTTCGTAATGAGTCTTTAATTTCTAAGAGTAGCCAGATACTTCATGTTTGCTCTTGATCAAGAGAATCGCAACACTTCTTGGAAAATCAGCCACACGATAGGATATGTTTTTACATTACCCATTCGAAAGAGCCCGCAATGCACCCGTTACATCTGTGTGCACGCGCTTCATAACACGTGTGTCTTTGTCATCTAAAGTGAGGGAAACACTATGACTGTCTGCTAATCCTTCTAGGACCTGGCACACAATGCTTTTGTTTGAGCTTGACCCTCGGGTTGCCTCTGGTCGAGAGCTGTATCGTTAGTAAGGAATCCTTATTTGGGTATCCCAAGCAAGCAGGGTCCAAAGCCCAAACTGAGTATCAGCCCTGAAATACTTCCCGTAACATACTCCTTTCGGTTCACATTCAAGCGTGAAGGCGTTACAATTCCGAGACACGCTGTAATAATCTTTTCTCTGTTCCAGATGACACACGAAGGGCGCAAAAGCCCACACTCATACCGCTTTCTGCAAGCTTGCCAGCAAACAAAAATCTTCTGCCAGGCCTTGAAAAATAAAAAACACCAATCATCAGACCCACTTACCACCCAAACCGGTCAATTCCACTATGCCAGTCCCTTCGATGAATACAATTTACCGTCTGCAGTTATAACTACTCAAACAAGTCCTTCTGTGCGAGTTCATGAGGAATGTAGCGTTACTGACCTGCTGTTTGCCCTGCAACCACCACAATACAGCGTCATCGTTGCTGACACGTTTTCAGCCGGACAGTTTCGCTTCATAACGAACGTGGTCACAATTTAAACACTCCCCGTTAAAGTTGCTGTTATTGCATGGATAGCTACTTTTTCGAATGTTGCCTCATCCATTTTTAGATCTTCGCGATCTGCTACACTCATACTGCTTTTGGTAAAGAACGAAGGTCAGCGACCTTAGGTAAGCTTTCTTTCAGCGAAGAACTACCGCAGCCCCACTGTAGTGGCGCCAGTTCCCACATCACTTCGCACAGGAAAGACTTGTCCAAAATTGGCGACCTTGAGGCATGCATCGAAGATGCATGTCTCCATATTGCCAAAGAATTGGCATAGTGAACTTCCCGGTTTTGGGTGGAATGGAGATTCGCATAATTGAACATCTATATCCTAGAAAATACCTCAAGATTATTGTCTGTTGGTAAGCTCGCGGAATGCGATATGAGTGTCGAGTTCCGTGTTCTTCTTGCGTCAATTGGAACAAATAAAGGGTATTTGAATCGGTCAAATGTACATGCTCAACTGAAAGTAACAACTTGCAAGTTACATGGTGTATTTCAAGGCCAACACTCCTTGGGAGCTTGGGCGTGCTCGCAAAGATCAAAAATTAACGCTTCATTCAAGACACATCGCTCAACGAAACGTATTTTGATGGTGAAGTACGAAAGGGAAGCCATCATCGGTTTTATAAAAGCCACAAATGATGGCTTTATTCACAACCAAGTGGATCAACTGCCAGTTCAGAATGAGACTATGAAAACTATCGTAGCAGCAGTCACATACGTCAAAATA